CATTTAGCTTGTGATGCTTAAAAATTTTTAGCGTCTCTTGAGCTGAATACATTGTTGATGTTGTATTGTCATTCTATTCTTATTATTTCCGAAATTCCTATGATATATGAAATGTTGAGGGTTTGATGAGGTTCTTTGTCCTCTGCTGGGTGCTAAACGGTTACTAAAGTGCTGACATTTTCACAACTTTCAAGATCTGATACGGCCTTCTACATGCATAAATCATTCAAAATGGTTGATTATTTATTATTTTTTAATATTAATATCAGAATATTTGTATAAATAAAAAGCTAAAAAACACGGAAAAATATACTATTTTTTAAGGTTTTAGTGCAAAAATCTCAATTTTCAACGTGAATCAGCAGACTTTCAGGATTTTTTCCTAATATTATGCTCATTTAACAACAACTTTTTAGCCCTGTAGCATACCCATCAAAAGTGGATATATGATACGGTCTAATACACACCGCTCTATGAGACAATATAAAGATACTCTCTAAAAATGAATTAGTCAAAAATGTGGCTGCTTTTTCACTTGTACCATGGTTAACCATGGAATACCATGTTATCCCAAAATTTAACAGCCAATTCTTATGTAAAATTGTCCCCTGAATCCGAAAATACTGTCAAAAATTTTGAAAGTGGAGATATAGTCAATTCCCTTTTTAAATGGAAAATTGACTAGGTATATCGAAAAAACTTTTTTAACGACATTTTCGCATTCAGGGGACAATTTTACATAAGAATTGGCTGTTAAATTTTGGGATACCATGGTATTACATGGTTAACCATGGTACAAGTGAAAAAGCAGCCACTAATAACTATTAAATTAGTCATTTTTGACTGATTAATTTTTAGAGAGTAGTGATTTTGTTTAAGTTTATAATAGTAAGTATATTAAGAAAAAGATGGGTAGGAAAAAAAAGACTCTTAATTGAGACCCATGCTCATGAGTATGTAGTAAAGTTTTTAATAATCATATCGAGGCTTAATCCCAAAGAGGAAGAAAAATGTTAAACTTTTATTTTTGTATAATTTTCCAACAAGATTTTTCTTTATGGTTGTAAGCAATTTAAAACGTTTTTTGGAATTTATAAACGGACAAAAAATATATATAATTTATTTTATCTACTCCTACATTGACGAGCTGTGACGGCGTTTTAGACACGGGCTAAAGTTAGCAACAGTGGCTTTTGGGCATTTTGGTCACGGGTTGAAGTTAGCTTTATTATAAATTAGGGAAAAGTGAGGTTAAATCCCTTAAAAGTTGACAGGTCAAAAGTTTACTAATTGGCTTTAAATCCTTTTTTGTGTTCGTCGTAGATAAAGTATAGTAAGTATGCAACTCGTTTTATAAACTTCTCTTGACACTTGTTTTTATTAAACACTCGCTTGCAATCTTCGCTCGTGCCTAATAAATCTCGTATCTAAAATGGCATTTATAAAACTTTTTTTACTCCCACCTTTAAAACGCCCATTATCGTACATACTTCCATGACTCTAAGTGACTTTATGGTACTTTAGTCACGGGCTGAAGTTGGTTTTAAGTTATTTGACAGTTTTTAAATGTCACACAATCTTTTAAATAAAGTGCCTTTCTTGTAAAATAAAACTAAATGTAAAATTATTTTCTAAATACAAAAATATTATATATATGTAGGTTAGGGTGGTCGTTATGTCGGGTGAAAAAAAAAATTAACCGGGCCGCCCCTTAAATTGACTCAAAATAGGGGAAAAAAAATGTGTGCCAAATTTCAGCCCTATAGGTATATCCTAAATTACCCCTGTGAACCACTTGTTCACTAAAAATTGAATTTTTTAATTAAAAATGATAAAGTAATTTTTAATTTTATATTTAGTATAAATAATAATAATTATTGTTATAATTATAATTACGGGAGAAATATTAATCAAATTATGCATACAATACTATACAGGGTGATCCATATTAAGGGCGCACCATTGCTAACTTCGTTATTGTTGATCATATGATTTCGGCGAAATTAGCAAACAATTAGTATTTTTTCTGCTGATTGCGAAGGTAAAACTATAAAAATATTTAAACTATACACTTTAAAGATATTCAAAAAATCAAAATTTAGAATAAAAATGCTAACTTAACTGAATCAAAGTAAAATATTTTCTTAACATAATCATATTTTAAAGTTATTTTAATATTTTGAATTATCAATATTTGTTAAGTTTAATTAAAATAGTAACGGGCAACGTTAATGGTGAAAATTACGTCAAAATTTATTATTGGGATGGTTACTTTATTTTCGTATAGATATCGATTTATACAAATATTTAAATCATTTTTTAGATAATATTAGGTGTTTGTCGTAGAAAAAGTATGCAACTCGTTTATAAACTTTTCTAGGCACTCATTTAATTTAATTGAATTCGTGACTAAAGTGGTATTTATCAAACTTGAGACATAATTTACTGTACTTTCATTTTACATGTAGACAGACTGCATTCGGTTTTTAAGAGTGGAAGATGCCTTCACCGGCGTTGAGTGATAGTCGAAGTTTGCTCTAAATTATTAATACGAATTAGGTATTATTAAGTTAAATTACTTTTTTAAATAATTTATATACTTAAAATGTTACATAATATTAATTAAAGATGTAAAATCATGCATTTAACTAAAAGTGTTTTCTTATAAAAAAACGTTTAAATAAAAAATTAAATAATTCTATTGAAAACAGATTAAAATAAATAAATCAATTTTCTTAAAACGATAAACTGAGTGTTGTGGAAATCCTTAAGGAAGTTTGCTCTAAATTATTAATACGAATTAGGTATTATTAAGTTAAATTAATTTAAAAAATAATTTAGATACTTAAAATGTTACATAATATTAATTAAAGATGTAAAATCATGCATTTAACTAAAAGTGTTTTCTTATAAAAAAAACGTTTAAACAAAAAATTAAATAATTATATTGAAAACAGATTAAAAAAAAATAAATCAATTTTCTTAAAACAAAACTAAAAATTAACAATTTTAAAATAAATGTAAATAAATTAATTCGTTTTAAACCTGGAATAGAACGATCCGGGCATTTAACTGAGAATAGGTCTCTAGTTTGACGTAGAGAATTGCCCACTAAAGACCAGCTTATCATGTCAATTTTCTTTTGCAGTGTGTAGGACAATCGACACTAGCAAATGCAAAACATAACTGAATCATCGCCCACGGCAACCCGCTTACAATGCATCTGGGGAGGAGCATCTGGGAAGGGGCGTTCGGGTATACTCGGGTTCACTCGAATGTATATATTTCAAATAAAAACAAGGTACTCAGATCAGTGCTCGGATATTCGAAACCGTGTATATGCTTACTCTGTCTTGCCTAAGCATGCTTTCTCTGTCTTGCCTGCTCTGCTCGCGCCGTCAGTGGGCGAGGCGTATGCTATACGGGGTTTTTAAGGACATTCCAGGTAGAGCGTATTTTTCGTTCTTGCGTTCGAAATTTTGTTTCCAATTATATTATTATAATACATGGTGTCTCATTTGGTTTTTCACTTTTTGAATTTAAAATAAAAAAAAAACAATCGATCAATTTTGACAATTTTTTAATTAAATTAAAGAAAAAACTTGGGAAATTTATTTTATTTAAATTATATTGTCCAAATGTTGCCCATTTTTTTCCTGTCACCCTTAAAGTCAAGCTCTAAAATTTGCAATCACGCTCCGAAAAGTTTGCTCACTTATGGCTTTCATTTCTGCCCAAATATTGTGCTTCAAGTCCTCCAAATTGGCAGGGTGGTTGCGATAAACTCGACTTTTAAGATATCCCGATAAAAAAAAATCGCATGGAGTCAAATCCGGGCTTCTGGGGGGCCAATTTATGTCGCATCTTCGGAAAATCAGTTTTTCAGGAAAAAACGCCTGAACAACCGGCAAAGACCGATTTGAAGTGTGACTTGTGGCTCCGTCTTGTTGAAACCAGCTTTCTTGGTCAAATCCTTCAAATTCTTGAAGAGCAGGTGTCAAAAAATCACGTATCATGTCGACATAACGCCTGCGAACCGACAAGTTTGGTTCCTGCCGCACAGACGCTCTCCCCATCTCAATGTTTTCATGGCTTCTTATTGTTCTTAAACGGTTGGTTATGCGTTTATTTGTCGTTGAACCAGTCTCTTCAAACTTACGAACCCATGCCCTAATTAAATTAATGCCTGGGCATTGTTAAATGTCGTGTAAATTGTAATGGCGTCTAAACAAACGTCGAACGAGAGTGCAAGAATTGGTATTTTTATAAAACTCGCGCACACAAAAAGCGCGTTGTTCTTCTGTGTAAAGCTGCATGTTGACTAAATTTCCCAATCCCCACTCATCCAACCCACCTAAAAACTTTTTTACAGGGCCACAAAAAGTGAAAAACCAACTGAGACACCCTGTATATATTATTATATATAATTATTAATATTATATATAATATATATTTATATAATTATTATATTATTCTAGCGGGCATTTCAGGACTCTCGGATAAAACTTCATATTTCAACAACAGTTGAAGTTAGCGACTTCATTTTTTTTTAACTGTGTTAACGTTTTGACTACATTTGACTCGATATGTATGTATAGAAATTTTCAATAATTCACATAGCTCGCCGCATTTCAAAATCTTTAGAAATTTTAAAATTTCTGAATTGCTATTAGAAGCGCTCACTTTTCAAGTATAAGTCTGCAAAAAATCAGAATTTTAGATTGTATTCTAGAATTAATACAACGGTTAATGTTACGAATCACCCACACTCATAGTGGAATACAATCGCTTCTCCGTTTGGAATTAAAATCTTGCATAAAAATTTATATTTCAACAACCGTTAAAGTTAGCAAATTAATTTTTTTTTTAATAACTTTATCAATGTTTTAACTGCATTTGACTCGAACTTCGAATATCCGAGCACTGGCTCAGATATGTTTCGGTTTACTTACCCGACGGTAACGTCGAAAATATTGCTGCCGACACTGGACGAGACGGCCATGTCCCCGAAGCCCTTCCTCGCGACGATCACCGAAGTGATGAGATCGGGGATGGAGGTGCCGGCGGCCAAGAACGTGAGCCCCATCACCTCGGGCGGGATGCGCACCGTGTCCCCGACCATGTTGGCCCACCACACCATCAGGTACGAGTACGCCGCTATCCACATGATCGATCCCAGGAACGTGATCGGGAAGAACTTCTTACCTACAATCGTCAAAACAATACGTTTGAGTAGGCACAACATCCTTTGTTATAAAGGTTTAAAACATCACAAAATGTTTGTATTATTATGATTTAAAATAAACAAAATATAGCTTTGCTTTTCAAAGCATTCCTCAAGATGGGAACTTAGCGTAGTAAAACTGGCCGACTAACATAAGAGATGGCTTAAGGTAGCGAGGTATCACTTAACAGTGCATTTTCAACTCGCCATCTAGTGGGTATCGTCCAAAGTACAAATTACAGTTACCTGTAGTGTCAACTGGTGTGAAAGTAACCTGAATATAAACATCGTTAAAAATGGTTTATTTGTATGGTTTTTTCGAATTAAAGCATACAAAACACATGATGTTTTAAACTAACCTTGTGAGAGTTATAGATTGCATAATAAGTGTTTTTATTATGTCTAAACAATGTAGTGTTACTAGTCAAGTGAGAGTAGTTTAAGATTAAAATCTGTATAAATATAAAAAATAGTGGGACAAATTTTCGACAATTCCAGAACTTTCCAAATTTTAAAATCTTTAAAATTTATAAATTTAGAAAATTTACACAATTTTTTAAAAAATCTCTTTTTCTTTAAAAACAGTTTAATATCTCTTAAAATTGAAATAATTGGTATTTTTCAAATCTTGCAATATCCACTCAGTTTCCAATTTTCAAAAAAATCACCGACACACCTGCTTTTTTATACAGGGTGAACCAAGTATTCTTCTATGTATTCTTTAAAAACAGTTTAATCTCTCTTAAAATTGAAATAATTGGTATTTTTCAAATCTTGCAATATCCACTCAGTTTCCAATTTTCAAAAAAATCACCGACACACCTGCTTTTTTATACAGGGTGAACCAAGTATTCTTCTATGTATGGGTATCTTTTTTATTTAAAACTACAAGGTCGTTTAAATTAGACAAATTTGAAAAAAAATCTGCGATTCTTAAATAATTTGGAACTTTTGAAAAAAAACTAAGTTTTACATTTTCATACAATTTGTAATTTTTTTCGCCAACTGAATTTTGAGATACCACCTTTGTTAGAAAAAAAAATCAAGAAATCCAACTATGTATCAAACTACATAAGTTATGACGGCCATTATAAAAACAAAAGATGGTAATGATAAATCAAAACATAGTAGAGAAGACATTGGATAAAAATGTAGATTAATATTTATGTTTAGGTACATGTAAGACTGCATACTCCAAAAAACGCTTGGACACGTTGATTGGTATTTTTAGTTGAGCATTTTTTTCAACAAACACTTTTTGTACAGGGTGTCATGTAGCAGTGACCCATGACAACTTTCTTATTTTAAATGCAATGTATATTATTTAATTTTTGGATTTTTCTAAAAATTTTAAACATATTTAATGTACCTTACTCAAACTTTTTTTTCTTGGGCCAAATATGTATGACTGCTACCTCAGGCGGGCCGCAACGACCTATATTACAATAAAACTCTTGATTGTTGAAATTGTGGACAACTTTTGAAATTTTAGTTAAATCGGGCTACATGCTACTCTAAACACGTCATCAAGGTGTGAATCAGTTAGCCGACATCAGACACATTGCATATGTGACGCGATCCGAAAAAACAAACCTAGCAACCAAAAATCAAATTTTACAAAAGGCGACCATGTCAATACCGTCTGGACCTTTCGAAAGATCGTTTACCCCTTTACTTAAAAAAATGATGATCTGAAAAATCATTTTTTGGCGCCAACTCCCTTTCCTTGGATTGCGTCCAATATTTCATTTCAGCGTTTAAAGTTATTAGTTACTACTTTTTAAAATTCTTTCTATCCTTTTTTGTTTAAAAATTGCTTCCAAATTTGAGTCAGTTTTAAATTTAATATATTGAATGTATACATTTATCTGCGTTGTCAAATCCCAATGCAGCAAGTTGTCTCACAGCTGCGGTTTGTAAGTGCCAGTGATTTTAAACTAAGGCAAGATTAACAAATAACTTTTTGAGAGTGTTTGCCTACTCGCGTCCCGCGACTTTAAATCCCCACCATTTCTTACAAAAACGTATTAAAGGGGCTCGTCTAACGCCGCGGTGTGTTTCAAACTCGTCACAGTCAAAGTTGGAAAGATTACACTATACTTGGCCGGTCCACGAGCTATAAAAATCTCGTCATATTACAGAAAAAATATTGCCCTTCTTTATCTCACAAGGCTGTGTAAAAAAAGTGATTTACATTAATTGGGCATTTTTTTATCTAAAAATTACTGTGGCTAGGCTTTGGGCCGCAAGAAATGGTTGGCGGGCCTTAGTTTGAGTATCGCTGACCTATACCTATCTTCAACTGTTTCGGAAATATTAAAAAATAACTTTAAAAAACGATACTTATTTAATTACAGAAATTCGTTACAACACACATAATCAAGTGTGTTATAGCGAATTTTGATATGCTTTTAGCAAGATGGAGCACCACCCTATTACTGAATCAATGCGTACCTCAACCGAATATTTACAAATCGGTGCATAGGGAGACGAGGATCGATGTAATGGCCAGCACGATCCCCTGATCTGATGTCAATATACTTCTTCCTATGGAAATATGTCAAAAGTTTTGTATACAAAACCAAATCCCTCAACTTAGCTGACTTTAGAAGACGATTAATGCTGGCGATTAGATCGGTCACACCTCGGATGTTAAAAGTATTTTTTATTTAAGATTAGGATGTTGCCAAGTCGTTCACGGCGAGCATACGGAACATCTCCTACATTTTCATTACATTATCATGAAATAAAGTGTATTACTTATTAGTTTTTCAGTGTGTTGTAGCAAATTTCTGTTTTTAAATAATTATCGTTCTTTAATGTTAATTTCCGAAACACTTGAAGATAGGTATGGAACATTGTACATAAAATGATCCTAGACACAACATGTATAAGTAGGATTAAGAAATCTGGCACTGCCATACTGCTACAATCCAACGTAAGCACGTTTAAACATATTTAATTCATTAAATCCCGCCTCCTACGATACAAATGCATGTCGGCCACAGTCGATCCAAGGTTGGAACACTTCCAACTATGCATGCAGCATGCCATGGAATAAACACCGGGATGAGCATCAGACATTCCGTATCAGGATTCGCTCCGCCAATAATGTCGTTCATTTTTAGATTCTACGTTGTAGTGAAACGTTCGAGAAATAAATTTGCAGGTTTTATTGCAGATAAAAACACATATGTAATTTTTTGGTGTTCCTGCAATAAATACAAGTGACAACTATCTTTTGCACATTACAATGGGGTAGTTAAATTTTTTCTGACCTATACTTTTTATGGTTTTATTCAAGGCGTTTTGTAATTTTAAACATTTCTGTGAAATCGGAATTTCAATTGAGTTTACCGTTTTCGAGATATTTACAAAAAAAAAACTCCTAATTACGTCACTAGGCTATTGACAACGTTGCCAGCTTTTTCTATGGTTGCCAGTGTGTTTAGTTTAAGATTCTTACGATAGATGGCGCCACGTTATAATATTTTAGTTTTAAAACCACTTTATCTATAATTTTAGTTGAGAAGAAGAATAAGAATTAATTCTTTGACGTTTCTTTTTTTCGGGTTATGTTTTTTTTAAATTTAGATTATTGAAAATCAATATTATTGTTATGTTATTTGTAATTGATATTAGATAAGTGATTTATTAATAACGGACTCCAAAGCAGAGGAATCTTGTGGAATGGTTGGTTACATTGAACATTGGAGCTTTTAAAGAAATAAAGTAAGTACCTATAATTATAATCATATTTTGTCGTAAATGCATTTCATTAGTATAATGTATAGTATAGTATAATTAGTATAATGGCTAGTTCTTTATATTCTTTTAGATATATCTTGGACTCTAAAATATCAAACAGTAATATGATACCTCGTAATAAGGAAGATAGGTACTTAATGAATTTGGTGATCATCTTTCACTCAACTGACAGTGACAGTATTTGTACATAACCTCTTCGGATATTTTCTGACATAACCGAATGAAATCATTAACAAGACAACTTGACAACAGGGTAATTTTCAACCAATAGAAATCTTAGAATGTTGGTCATATGGCGAGGTTTGTGACGTCATAAAAATTTATATTTTTTGTAAATATCTCGAAAACGGTAAACTCAATTGAAATTCTGATTTCACAGATGTTTAATATTACAAAACGCCTTGAATAAAACCATACCCAAGTAACATTTTAAAATCCAAATTGACTTGACTTAGTTTTAAGGCAGTTTTATTATAGCGGAAAAAGTGTAAATTATTTTAAAATGGCTTTTATAAATACTAATTACACTTCGAGAGGATATGGTTTTAAAAGGTAGTTTTATAGCTATCCTGAAGGCATCTCCTTAAAACTATCTAGCATTTAAGATCATTTGCTCTTAAAAATGACTTCATTTGTACTTTAATCAAACCTCAATAAGAGTATATTATCTTAAAATTCTCTTAAAAGCAATGTGGTTTTATTAGTTCGAAATAAATATACTTTTGTTTTAAAATTGCTTTTATTTTTAATCTTAAAGTGTTCTTTGAGATAACTTTTGTTGAAGGTAGGATTAAAACTCCTTTAACTTAAGTAAGAGTTTAATAAAACTATATTTTATAATACTCTAATTAAAATACACAATAAAACTAACTTTACTTGGACAAAACCTTTAAAAACTTGATAAAAGCACTTAGTTCCATATAAATGTTGCGGAACGTCATAGCTATAGCTTTAGCTATAGGTAAAATGACAACGTTTATGGATAATTCTCTTCGTAAAACAAGAAGTGTACACTTTTACAGAAAATGTAAAGTTAATTGTTACTGTAATATCCAAAAAAGAAATGTAAAACTTTCTATTAATATCAGGGGCGGCTAGTGCATAAGGGCTGCAGAGCTGCAGAACTCCCAAAATTTTCTTATTACTTGACTAATTTTTTAATTATTTAATATTTAAGTGCGACAGTGTATGAATATTTCAAACGCATGGCTGCATAAAACGTTTTTATTATAAACATTCGCCGTACTTGGCCACTACAGTCATCCAAACGACCGGTAAAGGTCTCTAACGCTTAACGCTTACAATACAACAAAGCTGGGCCACTTTCGAGTTCTGGCTCCCATTTCAATACCGTAATTTTGCTCCGCGCCGCTCTTGGCCCTAGGTTAAGATAGTGAAATTTAAGCCAAACCGGAGCTGCACCAACATACAGTTCCTACTTCCCGGTCGTTTGTTTTTCGCTTCGCGTTCACGTTTGTTATTTTAACTAGAAGACTGTTAATTCGGTGTATTTTTGTGTTTGTTGTTGTATTCTTTTGTAAGAATGAATGTGGTGTATGATTAAATTATGATTTAATTAATTAACTGTAGGTACCATTTAATTAAATGCCCACTGCGCCACATTTTTTTAAACCCCACTGGCAGAACTCACAAATTTTACTGCCACGAGCCGCCACTGATTAAGTAATGAAAATGGTACATGTAAACATACACATTAAGTAAGGTTAGGTTTCTAGAAAATTTGGTGCGCATGCTTCTTAGATTTAAAGAGGTTTTATGAGTGTATTTTATAATTAAACACAATCTTGATAAAGTCAATTAGTCTTGAATAAGTACATCTGCCCTTGGTTTAGTTCTATTGGTTTTATTATTGGCAGTTTTAATTCAATGAAGTTTTATTGATGTTTATATTTTAAGGATTTATTAAATGGCCGAAAGTGTCGCACTATGGGATAAAATATTTTATTATAAATTATGAAAACAAATTAAATAATAAAATGCTTATAAATTTTACGTTTAGTAATAAAAAAATAATGTTATGTCATTAAACAAGAGGTAATTTAGGCCATTATTAACGAGGATGAGGTAAATGTCTCGAAGGAGTAGAATAGTAGAAGTAGTTATTAAAAATTAACAACTGATTACAAGCGTAAAAAATTACATCCGCGAGATTTTACTTGCATAAGGTCTTTCTCGCACGAAACCTTACTCGGGCAGAGCTTATTTGCGTACCAAATTGGCCTAGCGAGTAAGACTCGCGCGACTAAGACTCGTGCGAATAATCTTCGCGCTGGTAAGCCCCCGCGACAAATACTCGCCCGAGTAATCCTCGAGAGCGTAATCCTCTCGCTGATAAGCCCGCGCGACTAAGACTGTCGGGCGACCAATACTCGTGCGAGTAATCCTCGCGCGTCCAAGTCTCGCGCGCGTAATCCTGGCGCTGGTTAGCCTTGCGCGACTAAAACTCGCACGAGTTATAATAGCACAAATAAGCCTCGCGTTGGTAAGACTCGTGCGTTTAAGACTTACGCGATTAAGCCTCGCGCGACTAAGACTCGCGAGATTAAGCCTCGGACTAGTACTCTACACGCGAGTAAACCTCGCGCGAGTGAGCTTTTCAAAATTATTTACTTGCGCAAGGTAAACACTAAAATAATAATTGTAACAATTATTGTTACTTACCCTCGCGGTCTTTGAATCACGGTTGAAACACCGTTTGTTCCATTTGTACAGGCGTGTAACCACGGTGATTCCACACCCACAGTGAAAACACGCAAAACCCACAGTGTTTCCACGCAAAACCCACGGTGTTTCCAAGCATGGAATTGCCCTTTTTGACTTGTTTAGGTGGTTTTAAGCATGGAATTGGTAGTTTCGGGCTAGTTGAAGTTAAAATTAGTGAATGCCAAAATGGCACCTGTCAAAATGACAGATACGCCTTTTTTGACTTATTTAGGTGGTTTTAAGCATGGAATTGGTAGTTTCGTGGTATATAAAGTTATAATTGGTGAATGCCAAAATGGAACCTGTCAAAATGACAGATACGCCCTTTATGACTTATTTAGGTGGTTTTAAGCATGTAATTGGTAGTTTCAACTACCCCGACATACCAATGACATGCTTAAAACCACCTAAATAAGTCATAAAGGGCGTATCTGTCATTTTGACAGGTTCCATTTTAGCATTCACCAATTTTAACTTCAACCAGTCCGAAACTACAAATTCCATGCTTAAAAACACCTAAACAAGTCAAAAAGGGCGTATCTGTCATTTTGACAGTTGCCGTTTTGGCATTTACCAATTTTAACTTCGACTAGCCCAAAACTACCAATTCCATGCTTAAAACCACCTAAACAAGTTAAAAATGGCATATCTGTCATTTTAACAGGTGCCATTTTGGCATTCACCAATTTTAACTTATTGACAATAATAACAATAGTAAAAATTAACACAATATTAAGAATAATCGGTATTTAATAATATTATTAAGCCTAAAAAATATATTTTAACCCATAGTGCAGTTACCAGATGAAGACAAAAAATATTAACAAAAATTAATTAATATTTCTTTAATACTACGTTATTGATACGGCGCATACACTTTTTAAAAGTATTTTATATTCTTTTATCAAAAAAATTTTTTGCGTTTACAATTTTGTCCTTGAGCAACTAATATATTGATTTTATTTTTTTAATGTATTATTATATATTTAGTTAGACATTTAATACTTGGATATCCACTTGGCAACTTTTAATT